CGTGATTCCTTGAGTAATTGTCTTAGTTTTATTTACCCTTTGAGATTTTATTTGAAGCTACGAAACCCAACGTAACACCGTCTTTTTATCAAAAACAAAATACAAGCTGTGTAGGCTAAGTCCCTATTATCACTACCTCATCTGAAGCTATATCGTAATAAGCCAATTGACTGGCCTCTCCTCTTCAAGATCCTTAATAACGAAGAATCGTCTTGTAAAACATCCTTTATAGGATGTTTCAAAAGAAATTCAAAATCAAAATGTTGCTCCAAATGCTTCCCACTTTAGAAGTAATACACGCTCGCATTCCTAATATATATACCTTAGCATAATGCTTCTATTGTTACTCTACCATTGAAAATTTTGAACACATTTGGCTATGTCCTGAGAACAACCCACCCTTATATGATATTGTTGCTAAACACAAAATTTCATTTATCACTTATCTTCAAGAATTGAATACCCTAGAGGACGATTCACTAATTCAAGAAATATGGTCAGACACTATTTGGACTTCAGTACCCTCTTCAGCCAATTTCTGGATCATCGACTTGCTTAAAGGGATAATACCCTCATCACTTTCAAATAAAGTTACCGCATGTGTATCTACATCATCTCTATTACATGGTCTACTATCATCTCTTTACCATGACTTTTCTACTTCTTGTTACAAGTTATGGAACAATAGAAACACTACTCTTAATGAATGAAAAATTGCTAATAACATTGAAGATGACTATACAACCCTTTGGATTTCCTTTGGTTTTCCACATTCCTCTCCTCTTCCCTCAACTTCAAACCTAAACTCCTTTATAGCGGCTACCGCCTATGGCTCTCACTGGTCAAATTTTTGGAACGGCAGTAACCATGCCCTCCTTTCCGGACGTTTGATAGCTGTACAATAGTTTAGTCTGGTTAAGTTTTTCTTTTCTTTTCTTTTCTGTTTATAGTTTAGTTCGGTATAGTGCAAGGTTGGTATTGATAAAGTAGTTTAGTTATAAATTAATTTATAGATATTTTTGTATTTTCTGTTTTATTATATGTACCTAGTATTTTATAAATTTAATAAAGATCATGCAAAACTGCCGCACTAAAAAAAAAAAAAAAAAAAATTTTATAGGATGTTTTCCAAAATGTAAGGATTAAATGAATCAACAATTATGTTTCTAGCATTTGTAGTTAATAAGTTATAAGCATTTAAAGCTAAAAATAAGTTGTTACATTTTTTTGTCAGCTACTGTATATTGGACATTCGTTTGTCTGGTGAGTAAACTTTAAATACTATTAGTTAATAAATTATTGAAATCAATAAATAATTTCAATTATACTATACCTTTGCTTATATTATCATTAACATCAACTTTATCTTTCATTATGAACCAATTACTCATTAAACGTTGTAAATGTTCTGGTAGTTTCATAAATCCATTATTCAACGTAGATAATCTCAAATTTATGCTTCTGTCTAATAAATATCATATCACAAATATTGTGGTATAATGATTTAACAAATCTAAGCTCACATTTTTTAGATTTGTTTATAGCACAATGCTTTTGAATATTCTATGTACTATCTCCTTAGTTCTAATACTTGCATTCAATAATTTCGCATAATTTTTTGCATGCATTAGTAGATAGAAGTTAGTATATAAGTTTGGCAAGTTCTCGAAGTCTTTGAATGCCTATTTGTAAAATAAAGAAATAATTAATTGTATATTGTATAATAGATTAATAAAGTTAATAAAATCTTAATAAATGAATAAATAAATATATGCTAATGAAAATTTAAGTATATATTCAATTCAATTTTTATATTCTTTACTAGTAAATAGTTAGCATTATAACTTACATGTGATAGAAGCTTTTATTTATTATATAAATATTTATATAATTCATTATATTTTTCATTCGTGAAAGAATCTTTAAATATCATTAACATCATTTTCACTATTACTACCCAGTATTTCAACTAAAGTTTTACTGATAATCACTTTGTATAACTTCAGTTTGATGTCGAAATAAGGCAAGTTTTAGATTTTTAAAGTGAATGCTCTTAAGAACCTATTAAGGATAAATAAAAATACCATTATTAGTTATAAACAATCTGATATCATGAAACTATCTATATGCAATATCAGATTTGGTAATTTTTGCCAAGTTTTCAGGTATTCAAATGATTTTAGACTATTAAGAATTTGGATTTTCCTTCTGAAGAGAGTGCTTCGATTGTTATTTTAAGAAATCTTAATACTTTTTCAGCTGTAACGTAATAAATGTCTTGAGGAGACTGTAAATGTCTCTCTCTTTTTAGTTGATTAAGTATTAGTAAATTCAAATATATTCTATATTTGATTACAATAGTTTTACATTCTGTAATTATTGATGCTTTAGATATTTCTTCAAATTGTTCGTCCATTTGGTGATAATATCGAGAGATTAACTATAAATTAAGACCATCAAATGTTAACAAGTTCTTAGTTATATTACATGTATGATATCCTTTATTTGCATCATATCTTTTGGTTCTGACTAGATCATTGCCCTATGGTAAATTTGCAGTAATATTACTAAGGCTTACTATTACAAGATATATACTTTCTTGAATGTTCATAATTGTTTCCTTCTCTAATATTTTCATCTCTTAAAAAAGGTTTAATAAACTCATCAAAGTGACTACTGAATAGGACGAAGCCAAGCATGAAATAGTTCTTAAGTTTCTTTTTTCTTTGAAGTTTATATTTCTGAATTGAATATAAACGTTATCTAACAAGTGATATATGTTACTAAATGTGTCAAAGTCATCATAATACAGATTGATAAATAACTTATATATCAAAAAATCTATTACTAAATCCTTTAACAGAGAAAATTTTGAAGAATATTTGTATAAATATCTAATATCTCTCATCTTTCAGCATCCATTATATTTGTAAAGGATTTCTCTGATTATAATTGAATTAGGGTCATTTATAATATTATTATAGAAAATAAAGATTTATATATGCTTAATGATCGCTTGCGATTTAACAATCATGGTTGCATTATTCATTCTCAGTCCAGGAATCAAACTTCACCTCATAATCTCTATTCTCAGACATTGCTTTTAAAGTTATTTGGTAACTCTTTGTATGTTAGAATATGTTAGATTTTGATTTTTAATTGGTCATCTTGTTGCATAATTGCTAATATATGTCTAAATCTTTTTGATCCTTTAGATTCTCAGTATATTATAAAATTTTCAGAGTGATATACATTTGAGCGATTATAATAAATGCTTATCCAAATCTTGCAAATTCTTTCCAGATATTCTCATGCCAAAATTCTTTGCTTTTTGTAACTTCTTGACCTAGACTGAAGTATATCTTGCTAAATAATGAAGGATTATTTAAAATCTGACTAATAATATTTGTAATAGACAAATAGTATACTTTCCTAATGCTTTTAGATGTTGATGGTGTTTCTTACTAGAAATGTTAATTTAGCAAGATTTTATTAGAAGTAAAGGCAGTCTCTATCTATACTTTCTTAATTGTTAGCTATTTGGTATGATATCTTCTCTTCTGAGCTATAAATGACGAATTATATTTATTAATTTATCATATGCTTGTATAGCTAGTAAAGAATTAATGCAAGTTATATTATAATTATACTAATTTATAAGTTTTGAAAGAATCTAACTTACATATGTAATATTTTTGCATCTAACAAAAAAATAGCAATTCAGTAATATTCTTAAAATATAGTGTAAAATTACTAGAGAAATGTGGTATTTGTTCATTACTGAGAGGTTGATTGATGATTATTTCTTTATCTAAATCTTGTTCGCTTATTTTTACTCTATTATCTTCGCCTTCTCTATTGTTATCTTCATCACTTTCATTAAACATTGTTATCATTCTTTTATACTTACTTTTGAGTTCTATATCATCTTTATCTATTTTATAATCATCTATATTGTCTTCACTATCATCCATATTGATTTCAGTTGCTTCTTCACTTTTTGTACTAATGGCTGGTGTCATTTCTTTATCTTTATTATGGCTTACAAAATAATTATTCTTTAAATTTTTTTCGTTTCATGTCGAAGATATATTAAATGTGTTATATTATTGTCTGATATAATTATATCGATTATTTCCAGAAGTATATCAAGTTCAAAATATTTCTTAAAACCTTTTTGATAAATATAATAAAAAACTGAAAAAGGATTTGAAGAAAATATTTTTTAGTGAGAAATGACGCGAATGAAAAAAAGTTTGATTGAGAGTCTATTTAATTAAACAATACATAAACTTAATTGGCAAAATAGTATGTTAATCATGCCATTTGTTACCATTTATGAAAATCAAATGTTATATCAAAAGTCTAAAAATCTATTAAATTATTAAATTATTCAATAGACTTTCCATTTATAGAATTTTAATTGTTTCAATTTGATTATATATTTTGAAAGTTAATCTATATATAGTTACAAATATTAGAATGCATAAGTTAATTAGTGAATTAAACTTCTAAATTCTAATAATTGTTACTAAATAAAGTTAAATTGATTGATTAATGATTATCAATAGTATATTATATTACTAAAAAATCCAATTGCCTATTACTTCATCAAATCAATACCATATTCATTTATTTATTAAATGGTAACCTCTTTTTACATTTTTCTTTAAAACACTAAAAACTCAAGTCTTTCTTTCTCTTTTATATTTTCTTTATAACATAGAAATAAAAAAATTCAAAATTTTTTATTTTTTATAATGCCTTGAAAAAGTACCTGAAGTCAAATACAGAAATAAAATACTATTATTCCTGTCATCAAAAATGATTTGGATGATCTTTCAGGTACTAACTTATATCATAAAAAATATATAGCTGTTATCATAAAATATATTTGATTTTATAAAGAAATTACTTTTCTTTAGCTCTAAATGAAGATCAAAAACTGGAAATTGTTTTAAACAAAAAAGCTCTTACCAAAAGAGATAGTAAGAAGAAAATTGTTAATAAAGGTAATCATGATTTGACTTCAGCTCCAAAAACTATCACTAGAGGTTAAAAGAAAAATACTACCGTTAATCTAAAGGAGTCCGTTAATATACCTGATGATAATTAACCAGATATACCAGCTCTGGAGATTAGTGTTAAATGCAAAAATATAATAGCTCTGAAGGCTATTGCTAAACATAAGCAAAATGAACTAACTCAAGAGTCAGTTGATGTTGATGAAGTGGATAAAGACGTTGACATTCAAGGTCCATCTAAATCGAATTTGATTGATGAACTTTTAGAATCAAGTGATGATGATAATCTTTTAGAAGATACTAAATTTTCACTTTAAAATCATATTTTGATATATCTTAATAAATTTTATTCTTATTATTATTTTTTTGATTTTTTAATTCTTTAGACGGAAGTCAATTTAGTAGTGAATGTATTAAAATTTCAGATGTAAATCCTTTGTGCTGATTATAAACAATAAGAATAAGATTGATAATAGCATATCAAATAAGACAACTGGATCTTATACTAAAATGGATGATTTAAATGTTATATTTAGATCATATTCTTAGCTGCGTTTAAATAATATCACACCTCATCCTCCACCTTAATTTAACAATACACATACAAAATCTAATAATATATCCTGAATTAACAATATATATAATTACACGCCTCAATCTAATAATATATATATGAAACTTGATGATATATTTCATTTGAATTTTCATTCTACATTTTAATTCAATAAAAGATTCAATGATGACAATACATTTCGTTCAAATACAACTAATATGTTTCATCAAACATTAGAATCTAATCAATTTCTGGCAGCATTTAGAGATATAAGAAATGTTCACAAAATATGCTAGTGGTTATGTAAAAATCTGAACGTCTTATTATTTGCATATTATATGTACACTACCTGAAAATAAGTTTGCGCGATCAGTTTTTTGAATTTTATTCAAAATTGTATATAATAAAATCAATTGATTTTGGTACTAATTGAAAGCCCTGATTCTTGTTTATATAACTATTTGTTATTGTAATACATACAAAATAAAAATAATTATAAATATAAATAAATATAACGTAATAATAATCAATTTAATAACTTATTTCTAACAAAATGGGTAAAAATCCTGAACTTACCGTTATTAAATGAGCACAAATAATCAGACTATATAAAAGTGGCCACAGAAAGTCCGATATTGTTAAAATTATGAATCGACTAGAGTTTACAGTTAGAACAATAATTCAATGATATGGAGATTCAGATGACATATTAAGCAAAAAAAGAAGTAGTCAGCCTCCATTACTTGATGATAAAGATCGCAAAATTTTAAAAAAAATTGTTAAAAAAAATAATAAAGCTTCAGCTGATATAATATAAAAGAAATTTTCAGTAACAACTGGTCAAAATATTTGTACCAAAACAATTCAGAAGAATTTGCATCAAATTGGATACAATTCTTATTGAGCTGCAAAAAACCATTTTTAAATGAAAATCAATGCTAAAAACGGCTAGAATAGTGCTTAAAAAGATAAAATTGGATAGTACAACAATGGAGAAATGTTATATGGAGCGATGAATCAAAGTTTACTCTTTTTTGTAATGATAGTCCTTCTCGAATTTGACATGAACCAGGCATTTGTTTTAATATTAAAAATCTGAATCCATCTATTAAACATGGTAATAGTGATGTCATAGTTTGGAAATGTTTTTTAGGCAAAGGATTGGGTCCTTTAGTGAAAATAGAAGGAATAATCAATTGGCATGATTATATAAAAATCTTAGATGATAACTTGTTGCCATTTATTAATTCAAAGTTTCGTAATTGATCTTACAAATTTTAGCACGATAATGCACCCATTCATACAGCTAATAATGTTAAAGCATAGGTTGCTAAAATAAATTAAAATGTTAATTAACTGGCCTGTTCAATCTCTGGATTTGAATCCCATTGAGCATCTTTAGGATCATCTTGAACGTTTGTTGTATAACCATTTAGATCTGCATAAAAAACTTGCAGATTTAGAAGTGTAACTAAAAGAAGAATGAAAAAAATTTTGCAAGAAACTTACCTAAAATTAATTGATAGTATGCCTCAAAGAATAGAAGCATAATTGCCAATAATGGTTGGCCAACTAGATATTAATATTTTGTTAAAAAAAAAATGATAATAAACTATTTTTCAAAACTGCACAAATTTATTTACTATTTTTTCAAAACTACGCAAACTTATTTTCAGGTAGTGTATTTATCGATGCAAACACCAATTACAGACGCATTTGATTTTACTTTAAATTCTAATTTATTAATGTCAAGGTCATCAACTGGTATAAACCAAATATCAAAGACAATGGGCTGGGATTTTCTTGAAGAATTAAAATGTTTATTTCTTCAGATTTGAAATCCTAATAAGTATGCTATTGAAAAGTTATTCTAGCAAATCTTTGATTATGAAATCAACTCAGATGAAGGAACAGAATGGTTACACATAGTAACTACAAAATTTAATGACTTCCAAAACAAATTTCTTGATTTTATTTAAGAATCGATCAATACATTCAAAGAAAAAAAGAATTGGTAAGCAGTTTGTTCATTTGTTTTGTTTCAATTGTACTGGATATTTTTTACTAATTTATTTTTTTTGTTTACAGCAAAAATATAAATGCAACTTGACCTTCAGAAAGTGAAGTGATTATGTTCGTTGATGAAGCTAAAATGATAAACATCTTGCAAAGATGGTTGAACATAATGAATATGAATAAATTAAGAGCTCAAAACTTTTTATTTACTTTACAAAGATTCGTTTGAAAGGCATTTATTATAAATTATGATTCAAGAGATACTGAAGCAACAAATCTTTGGATAATATAACAAAGAACATAGTGGTTTCATCTTGAAATGGAAAAAAACATTGCCAGCAACTTACGATTATGAAATATGAGGTATTCTATTTATTACTTATATCGATAGAACTTCAAATCTTCAATTTATTAATAGTTTATATTAGGCGTTTAACATGTTACATTAATACTTGACGAATATCATCCTTCCTAATGTTGGTATTATTTTATTATAATTATTTTTTTTTTACTAGTTATACGACTAGTACTTTTTCTATAATGAGCATTTCTATTGTATTTACTGCTAATTTTCTATAACAACAACACTGTTGGCTTAGTATCTGTAAACTTAAACGATAAACTTTTAATTCAATCCGTTGAATTAAATACAAGTCAATATCACAATCGCGCCTATATAAAGATACGACAAAAGGCAATAGTAAATGAATTTAATGATTCCTTTATTGAACTCTTAGTTTATCCTAAAACCTTAACTTGAGTTACTTTTCAACTCAAGGAAAAATACAAGATATTTATATAAAATAAAATAATATAAAATCAACTATAACAAATATAATAAAGAGAACAAATAATATAACTATGATAAATATAATATATATAATAAATAAGATATAATTAATAAATATAATAAATATAATCCATGTATCTAATATGTCCACTTGATCAACGTTGACAACTTTAACAACTTTGTCAACTTTGTCAACTATGTCGATCATTTAGATCACATGACTTTATTTTAGCATAGTCACGGATCACGGCTTCAACACCCTAATGATTTTCATATATTGTATACCACGAAATTGTTGAAAAGAAATGAATAGGTGAAATTTCTAGAAGAATGCGTAACATGAACATTTTTACTAGTAAAATATAATGCGAAATTTTATTATTATAATAGTATTTATTTTATTATAATATAGATAACGTTTATTTTGCAAAAATGGAATTTTATTACAATGGAAGTTTTTTTATTATAAATAGGATTTTTATTATAATTTTTATTACGTAACAAAAAAAAAAATTAAAAACAACTCGAGAACGTGAATACATCGTTAAATAATAACTAATGTGTCAAAAAAATCTCTCGGATTGATTTTTTCGGTTAACTTGCGATGATATTTACCACCTATGTTACGACTTCAAATAAGTAAGTCTTACGTCATCACGTATTTGATACTAAATTGCTGCGATCTGATGGTGATCACTTAACCACATAGTAACAAATCACGGGTTTCTGCAAAGTCATGTCATGTTAGATTTTGAGGAAATTCTTACGGGTGCTTAAATTTAAATAATATAGAATTCAAAACAAAAAGCTGCCAATTTGAAATTAGAATATTTATAAAAAAATTTTATAGTGTTCAAGAAATAGTTTGAATGTGGCGTTGCTCAATACTGAATTTTCTCAATGGACTTTCAGGAAAAGACTAGGAATATAGACAGTTCTCTCGGCTCTATTTCCAGTTTCTCTTCTGTTCTACTTCGATCCTCCTAAAGTAAATTAAAACTTGAACGCTAACGTTGAAAATATTGATAAGAAATCATTTGTCGAGTAAATTTTCATAATTGAGGTTGACAATAGCTAATTTTTTGTAAATTTATAACTCAGGAATTTAAAAAATTATATAAAATCTTATTTATTCGCAACTAGGACTCATCATATGTATAAGATAATGCTTTGAATTTTGTTCCACGACATGTATTGACTTTCAACATATTTGGAAATTTTGAACAATAACGCGGCAATTGATTTTCCATTTCGAATCGAATGTGATAGACATGGAATTTCTTTTTGTATGTAGTACTTGATTTAATTTATCAATTATCGAATTATTATTAAATCGTATTTACTCATGAAAATTCATGTATGAATGACTGGTTGCTTCAAACAAAAAGGGTTTAATGTTATATAACCGAATAAGTTTACAACATCATAAATTTCACAAGTCCGGAAATACTATATATGGTTTTCTAGAAAAACTCATTATAAAGTCGAAAATCATATAGGAGGTTTTGCTATTAAAACACGTTACGGATCATATGATATACTATGTTCGTAACTCGATTTAATAGCAAAAATCCCATATATTTCGACGGATTTTCTATTAAGTTTTTAATATAGTTTTGACTTTTGACGAGATTTTATTATGGTTTCAAGTTTCGACAGTTTGCAATAAGATCTTATTATAGTTTTACTAATGATCTCGAGAGCTATGCCAGGAAACTATAAAAAATACCTATGTCTTTATTATAAATAATTTCATATTTGATTTGCGACAAAATAAAAAGAAAATGGCGAATTGATTTCATTATTGTTATTATTAATTGAGAATAAATTATTTTCACCTCATGTTCTCTCATAGGAACATGAATAAGATATGAAACACCTACATCCATAATTCTGATAAGCTACAATCCCGGTATCTTAAAACCGAAATCTGACATTCCGACTATCACATGATCCCGACAGTTCAAAAATCCCGCTGGTGCAAATTCCGTTAATTACACAAAATATACATATCGTATATTTATATTAATAACTGCGCGCTTAGGTATATTTAATTAAAAAAAACATAGGGATGGATCGTATGCCACTTCATATATAAATACTAGGAAACGGGGACCGTGGTTAAGTCCGGAACGATCTTAACTAAAAAAATATTGCAAAAGCCAATCAGCATCGACTCAATTTTTGAGCGGGCAGACATCGGGACACTTTGCGTAGACATACACTCCCCTGAAGAAAGTATCCGGGCACGGCTTTTTGCGAATTGTAGCTTAATTATATTATGTTTTTAAATA